ATATGAATTTTGACTGTAAATTGGCCATGGTTGACTTTTTCCCTAATACAGCTGATTTTTAGATCAACTACCCAATTGACTGATCAAAAATGTGATTCAAAGCTTGAAACTTGTCATGAGTAATCTTAGGGGTCCATAATGATGTTTGTACAATCTCAAACCCTAATTTTGGGTCAACAGTGTAAGATGAGATGTCTTGAGCTGGTCAAACCCTAATCCAGTCTTGAGTCAAAGAGATCTTGTGAGAAAAGTCTTGATAAATGGGAGGGCAAATTTTAGGGTACAACACTTTGCAACAAAGTTGCTTGTCACATGATGGTTGAATGTTATGCTATCATGATTTCCTGATACTCGATTTGAACTTGAATATTGCTGATGTAGGAGAAAGATCAACTGGAGATTATGAAAGTATGTGGAGAGCTTGCCCCTATGTGGACTGTCTTTCCCTAATTTTTTGGTAGGGTCTTGGAGGATATTCTAATTGATATGAGCTTAGAAATAGTTTTATCATAATATGAATGACCCCACTATTTTGCATTATGCCATTAAAAGATTCTTGAAAATGTTTGTCTTTGACGAACCATTTTGAATTAAATCCTTTTGATTGAGCCTCGCAGTGGTTTTCCACAAAATTAGAATTTTGAAAGATGTTCCCTTCAATTTCCAGGATCTGGAGGAAGCACCCTCAGAAAGAATTTAGACCTCACCATGAACTTGACATAGATTGCCCCAAGTATTCGAAGCTTGAAAATTTTGTACTTGAAGTTGCTTGAAGGGGGATTTGGACCCTACGTGCAGTAGGATGAACTTGGTACGTACTGACCCAATATTTGAATATTGGAAGGTTTCCCTTGATTATCAATGCCTTGAGAGGTTTGTTAAAATAAGGAAACTGAGTCATATCATGTTGTGATATGACTTAAGGAATGCTCTTTCGAAAGGTATGCCTCTGATTGAACAGTGCTTTGAAACTTGATCCAAGTTGATTGAATCTCATAATGATCACCCCTTGTCAATAGTATCTTCATGTGATATACCCCTACAATCATTAGTCTTTCCTATGATTATATGTTTCTTCCTTAAATGCTTTTCCCCCTGAAATGGATCGCTTTTGATTAAACCAGTTTTTTTTTAGATCTCTTTGATGCTAAGTATTGATTCATATATAAAATTGTACATTTTGAAAAAAGTTACTCCATTTGATGCACATACAAGTTTTGAAATCAAAGTTTGAATAGAAATGGATGATTAGAGATGGAGATTCGAAGAAGTGGTTAGTAATAATTTTAACAAACACGGGAGTCATTTTAATGCAAATTTTGTCGAGTATGCTTTCATAGTTAACCTTGCTTCAATTAGGACTTTTGAAGGTTGTAACGTGGCCATGGTTCATGGTTTAAGAAACAAAAGATAAAAGGATTAAAATTTGTTTAGCCCATCCCATTCTCCTTGATGTTCTCCAGTCCTAATTTCAATGAATGAAACAACTGTATTTAATCTCCAAGAGAAATTTGTAGTCGCGCAGATGATGAGAAGCGTAGATAAAGATCCAAGCACTGATGAAAAGTGTTGATAAGATTCGAGCATTGATAAGATCCCTGAATGATTTTTGAGGTGGTAGTCACAAGATTATTCTCCAATTTTGTTTTCAATCCCTTATTTTTGCATGGACCGGTTCTTTTGAATTTTTTGGTCCATCGGGATGCCCTACCTTTTGCCTAAGTCAAGTTTTTTTTTCGATTTTTACTTGACTTAGCAGGCTTTATTATTATTTTTCATTTAAATTTCTTTTTGCTTTTCGATTTTGACACTTGTGACTGTCATACTGATTGTTGTAAGCTTCATATTCATCATTTCCTTGATCTTGATTGATCTAATGAGGAAGAAGATGGCGTGGACTTTGTCTTTGTTGATTCCTCAATCTTGGATGATGAATGCGAGGAAAAGGATGTGTTTTGAACCTTTGCTTAGATCGTTTCCTTAATGATGTATCAAGGAAAGATATATGCTTGAACCTCTTGTTTAGATAAATCACTTCTCTTGAGAATAGAATGTGCCATTGAATTAATTAAAAGACTACCTTGCCCCTGGTTAAGTTTAAGGTTTTTTTTTTTGAAAAATAGAACAAAACTCCAACTCTTGGCTTGAGGGGGTTGACTATGAATTAACTCCTTATTTCTAAACTATTTAGGAGTTAAAATAATACCTCACATCGTCAGCTCGGTTTTACCACTGAAAGTATGTTTTAGCAAAATTCAGTTATTTAATTTACACCATTCTCCCTCGAAGTTTGTTAAAGAAAATTTGAAAATGGAAAAGAATAGTGGAAATGGAAAGTCGTTGATTATTTATGGAAAGTAATGAAAGATGAAGAGTGAAACGAATGAACTGGTTTCAAAAATATGCATGATTATTTAATTAGAATTACTGATCTAAAGATACAAATTTACACCAAATGAAACTTAGCAACTAGGAAATTACAATTTGTAACTGATAAAGCCTAATGATCCTATGGAAGAACTCCTTTGTAGTTTTTGGACTTATCAAAGCATGAGGATGACTCTTGACTTCTCTTCAGGCATACCAATTATATTGATAGGGGAATCATCAATGAAAGTTGAAACTGAGGTGTTGCATAAGCTTGTATAGTGATGGGCTGCCTTCTCTCCATAATAACATTTGTATGACCAAGCTCCTTTTAATCTCCAATGTTTGACCTTTAATTCACCAATCTAACATTTTCTTGAAATGTTTGGGCTTTGTTCTTGAGCATCGGGAAACTTGTTAGCCGGATTGATAGCGACCATGGTCGAAGGTGGAAATGCATGACATACAAATGTATGAATGTACAAAAATGCATAGGTATGCAAAATTATTTTTTTGGCTTTTGGGTTTGCAAAAAAAGTTTCATGGATATAAAATATGACGTAGACGTAGTATGAGGTAAACATAGGGATACCATATACAGGTTTAATGGTAGATATGGAAATGATGATGTCCTACACTGGCTCAGATATTGAGACAGGCAGGAACTCCTTAAGGACGTAGATAACAATAGACATGAATATGATGATATCCTACATTGTCTCATAAATTGAGACAGGATGGAATTTCTTTAGGATTATGGACTAATGAAAGATGATGAGAAATCCCCATAAGCTAGGGATTATGGCATAGACGAAAGCCCTACGGGCTAAAGGTAATATTGGAAGAAAAGATAACTCTTGCAGGTTTAGGGATTATAGTGGGATTTGTGAGAGGTATCCTTAGTTAGTAGGTTCCTAGTATTGGCCTACGGATATTCTACCCTCCCCATATCGTGAATAACACTAGAGGGAAAGGCACAAGGGTCTCCCTTAAGTGGAGCCTCTTTGAAGACCGAAACTTTCATCTCTAAGTCATGAAAGGTCTCATCATGATATTTTGGTTTGAAGGTTGTACAAAGAGTCACAGGTGTCATTCCAAAGTCCTACTTCCCAAGAGGATGTCTCTTGAGACGTATTTCTTTTGGGGAATTCCACCAACTCTAGACGAAGTCGTCACATAAACTCATAGGGTTGATGTATCCCCTTGGCTAATAGACGAACATTCTTTCTAAGGGTTTTTGAAAATATTTTTTGCAAAATTTAAATCCCACCACAGATATAACAATATGATAAAAATAACAATAGATAAATAAATGAATAAATAAATAGTTAAATAAAAAAATATAAAAAACCCAAAAAATAAGAAAAACCCTAAAACCAAAAGATAAGGCTTCAAAACTTAGGGTTGAGTCCCCAGTGAAATCGCCATATGTTGTAACCTGTTTTAAAATAAGAGTCGCCACCCTTAATTTTTATCCTAAGGAAGGGAATATAAAGGTTAACCCTAAAAAGTCAGAGATTCTAGGTTTTTTACTCGGTTTTAGACTAAGAGAAGGTGTTAGGCACCCCTCATCTACCTTGTTCACAAGGATACTAGATTTAGAATTAATCTTTAGGGCATAGGGTTTTAGTTTTTTATTAGGGGAACTCGCCACAATTTTAGTCGTAGTTCGCAGTTTGGTTGGTGTTTTTTTATAAGAATGCATAGAATTGATTTGAAATTATCCTTGAACCTTGTCTGGGTTGAAAATTGTGTGAGCGTAGACATAGTTCGCAGTTAATTTGAAAATAATTCTCCTTAATCCTTTTTCAAAAATATCTTGGGGTTTTGATTAAGTTAGGAAAAAAATGGTTTGATCGTTGGTTAGTTGTTTTGAATTTTAAATTGATGACGCGTATGGTAAGGCATAGAGCGAGGGAGTCTGATATAGTCTCCTCATCACCTGGCCAGATATTGGCCATGCATTGCTCGTCTTGGAGAAGGCAGAGGGAATCTGATAAATTTTTCCTCATCACGTGGCTAGATATTGGCCACGTGTCGTCCACTGGTGAATTGCGTGATTTTTAATATCTTTGTAAAATATTGAATTAACTTAATTTAAGAAAAAGGTTTGAATTAATTAGAAAATAGATTTAACTAAATAATTCAATAAAATATATTTTTTATTTTGAGTAATTAATTGGTAACGTTAAGTCTACCACTAATTACTCGAGGATGTGAAATTCGATTACTGGTAATATGTCGAAATTAAATAGTTTTTGTATTTTTATAATGATATTTTTTTTAGAGAAATTAAATAAATTAATAAAAGAAATAACTAAATTAAAGGTGGTGTTAAATTAACAAGGGGTGTCTCTATTAGATCAATATATGGCCTAAGGTCTATTTCAATATTTGTTAAAGTTAATCCTAAAAACTAAAAATAAACTAATAATAATAGCAATAATATAAGTAACAATAAAACAGAGAGAAAAATTATTGATCCCAAATTATCTCTTCCTCTCTCACGGTATTCATTTCAATTTCTTTCCAAACAAAACCAACACCATAAATCTCATACACAAACTCATTTAATCAAACATGTCTTAATTAAACCACATGAATAAAAAGCAGAATGGAAAACAAACCAGAGGATGCTAATGGAGAATGACTTTGCGAATCTGAGCGGAATCATGATAATTGCACAGAGGCGATTACGGTTGTCTCCGGATTTGAAGGGGAGGCGGTCAGATCGTGGAAGTTTCGACGATGGATCTCTGGAAACATTGTTGTTCTGTGCAAAACAGAGAGCTTTCGTCGACGTTTACACCGACTGAGTTGCGTGTGCAGTTCTCGCCATCGGACTCCATATTTGTTGGATCTTGTGGTGGGATCAATGAATAATTGATTGAAGGTGGGCTGGGTGCATCAGTGGAGGGCTCTGTTTAGCTTGTGATGTTTTGTTATAATGTTGTTTTCCAGGTTGTTGATTAAGATCGGCGGGTTTGCAGTCGAGCTGCTTCCTCTTCCTGTTTCTTTGATTTGTGATATTGTTTGTTTTTTTCTCTTTGTTGGTAGTGATTGGATAAAGTAGAAATCAAAGCTCATTAGAGATGAAATTCATAAACTCTACAATTTTTTAGTTGGCATTAGATAAAATATATCAAATATTAGAGTAATAATGATATATGAATTGAAGCAGTGATGATGTTGTATATAAGTTTTGCAACACAAATTGATTTCAAGAACTAATTGGTTAATTATTTCTAAGAACTAAATTAGGGATATCCTATATATTTACCAAGATAATACTAATAACAAACATCGTGAATTGTAATCACATATAAGTTAGGAAAATGTTAACGTAAACAAAAAAGTAGCGATAATTCATATATTTACATGAATCTATTATGATGTTTATAAGTAAGATGAGGAAAAACCAAAAGCATAAATTCTCCATAACTGTGTACAAATTTGGACGGTGTATATTGAATGTGTGTGGTCTGTGTACAATTGTGAATTGAGAGAATAGTTAGTTTTGTCAAGAAATAATTTTTGAAAGCAACTAGACCATCAGATCATCATCATATGGTTAAAATAACAAACCAATTAAAAAAGTAGAATCGAAAATTAGAGGGAGGCCTCATATGAAATCATTGGCCAAAACAAAAATATCCCCAACAGTATTAAAAAGAAAATTTTGAAAGAAGAAGAAATTTGCAAAAAAAACTGAAGTGTGTGTGAATGAGTGAAATTGTGAGAGATTGTAAAATCGCGGATGAATTTTTAGGACAAATAAGAGTCCTATTTATAGACTTGAATTAGGTTAGAAAAAACTTAGAGACTAAGTTATCCAAAATGTATGAAAATCCCAAGCCCGATTTCTAAAAAAGGAAAGAAAATTAGTAACAAAAAGTAATAGAAAAAATGTTTAAAAAAACATCATAAGAGATTCAAATCCACGACATCATATTTGCAAGCTTCATTATTTACCAACTGTGTTATGTTACTTATTTGAAATGAAGAGCCAGTTGAAAATACACGAAGATGAGCAAGTATTTGTTGTTTAAAAATACAAATAACTTAAAATAACTTATTATATTTTTAACTGGACTTGAGAATGAATATTTATAAAACCCCAAAATATTCATGTAATTAAACCAAAGTAATTTTAAAACCCAAGGTTAAAATTCATATGTGTTCCATACCATAATTTTTAGTGATACTTTACAGCACTTAATTTTCATTGAAAAATTATCATAAGTTTCATTTCATACATTGTGAACACTTGTATATCATTGAGAATTGTTTGTTTGGAAGAGAAGATCAATCTTAGTGATTGGTACATATTAATAAAATTTATTACTCAAATAAATTCAATATTTGGTTTGTAATTCCTTGTTTTCCAGGATTGTTGGAAACAAGAGAGTAGAAATGAAAATATTGTTTTCCTGTTCTACTTATTTGGTTGTACCTTGTTGTCCAGGATTGTTGGAAGCAAGTGGTTAAAAGTGAGAGGATTATTCTCATTTAAACTTAGTTGATCCAAGAGGGTTATTCTTAGTGGTTTTGTTGTTAGAAGATTGTAGGAGAAGTCTTGGTATAAGGCTTGTACAAAGATCTAACAATAGTGAAATCTCCTTCGTGTTGAAAGGGGATTGGACGTACTCTCGAACTATGAAGGTAACCAGAATACATCCTTTTGTTCTTTACTTTTCTTCATTTATCGCTTTCATCTTAAATCATAACCAGAAAAGAAAGAATCGCATTTCTAAACTCTTGCACCAAACCAGAAAAATAAGAACAACTTATTTCTAAAACCAGATAAATTTTTAAAGTCTTAATTCACCCCCCTCTTAGGTTCACTCCGAACTTACAATTGGTATTAGAGAAAGTTATAGGTAACATGTTCCTGAAGATCCATAATGGCTTCCGCAAATGTAAATCTGCTTTTCAAAGATGGTGGTAGCAATAACAAACTTCCATTATTTTGTGGTGAATACTTAGATTTTTGGAAAATCCGCATTAAGGCACATTTAGAATCTCGAGGAAAAGGAGTTTGGAAATTCTTTGTAGAAGTTGTTCTTATTTTTCTGGTTTGGTGCAAGAGTTTAGAAATGTGATTCTTTCTTTTCTGTTTATGATTTAAGATGAAAGCGATAAATGAGGAAAAGTAAAGAACACAAGGATGTATTCTGGTTACCTTCATAGTTCGAGAGTACGTCAATTCCCCTTTCAACACGAAAGAGATTTCACTATTGTTAGATCTTTGTACAAGCCTTATACCAAGACTTCTCCTACAATCTTCTAACAACAAAACCACTACGAATAATCCTCTTGGATCAACCAAGTTTAAATGATAATAATCCTCTTACTTTTAACCTCTTGCTTCCAACATTCCTGGATAGCAAGGTACAACCAAATAAGTAAAACAAGAAAACAATCTTTTCCTTTCTACTTTCTTGTTTCCAACAATCCTGGAAAACAAGGAATTACAAACCAAATCTTGAATTTATTTGAGTAATAAAGTTTATTAATATATATCAATCACTAAGATTGATCTTCTCTTCCAAACAAACAATTTTCAATGATATACAAGTGTTCACAATGTATGAACTGAAACTTATGATAATTTTTCAATGAAAATTAAGTGTTGTAAAGTATCACTAAAAATTCTGGTATGGAACACTTATGAATTTTAACCTTGGGTTTTAAAATTCTTTTGGTTTAATTAAATTAATATTTTAGGGTTTTATAAATATTAGTTCTCAAGTCCAGTTAAAAATATAATAATTTATTTCAAGTTATTTTATTTTTAAACAACAAATACTTGCTCGTCTTCGTGTATTTTCAAATACTTGCCTCGTGTTCCTACATGTGTTGTTAATGGCGTTGGCACTCTGAATCCCGAAGGTTTATGGGATGAAGATGATGAAGAAAAAGTTCTTTACAATAAGAAAGCAATAAATATTCTTTAAGGTGCTCTTAGCATGGATGAATTATTTCGTATTTCAGCATGCACAATGACAAAAGAAATAAGGGATACATTGGTAGAAACTCGCGAAGGAACGAATGAAGCTAAAAGATCAAGATTGAATACTTTAAGTCAAGAGTACGAGTTATTCATAATGCAGACCCGAGAATCAACCCTCGACATGCAAAAAAGATTTATGCACTTGACAAATCTTTTGAAAGCACTCGGTAATACTTTAATTAATGATGAACTTAATCTTAAAGTGCTTAGATCTTTATCCAGGAAATGTCAACCAAAAGTGACGGCAATATCTAAGAAAAATCTATCCAAAATGACTTCCACAACTTTATTCGGAAAACTTCAATAATATGAAACGGAACTTGGAAAACTTGAAAAGAATGAAATTCAAATGAAAGATTCAAAAGAAATTATCTTAAAGAAAAGAGTGAAACATCATGATAGCAACCAAGAGGATGAATCAACTAGTAAATAAGATGATGATCTTATTAAGAAGTTTGAAAAGTTTCTAAGAAGATAAAAAAAAGAAAAAAGGAGATCATTAAAAGAGAAGCACCAACAAGGAAGGTTACATGATTTGAATGTGGATAAAAATGTCATGTTAAAAGTGAATGCCCTACACTTTAATATAAGAATAAATACTTCAAAAGAAAGACGGACAAAAGACTAAAGAAAGCATATGTAGCAATGGGATGACAATGAAATAAGTTCATCTTCAGATGAAGAACATGTAAATTTTGCATTGGTAGCTTCGCACCACTCCGAAGATGAAGAAGAAGAGGTTAGTAATGAAATATCTTCTTATGATAATAATGCTCTAAATGCTATTGAAGAACTACTTAATGAATGTAAAATTTTGTATAAAAAGGTGTCAACCCAAAAGAAACAAACTTTATCTCTTGAAGAAAAGATTGACACCTTAGAAAAGAATTTTGAAGTTAAAAAAAACAAGTTTTCTTGAAAAATAAAAACAAAATCTTACATTCAAAGAGTGTGAATCACTTTCTTTCCAAATTGTTCAATTAAAAAGAGTTCTTGAAAGATATGAAAAAGTACAAGTTTGATTGGAAAATGTTCTTAGCTAACAAAGGTATTTAAATGATAAAAGTGGTATTGGTTATTCTAAGTTTAATAAACCAATTACTAGTAAAACCATATTTGTTAAGGCAAGTGACAAATCCAACAAGGAAAAAGTGAATAAAGCACAAAAGGTTCATCATCATTCTTAGAAGATATTTCCTAAAAAGAAACCTTATGTTCCTAGATATAGAAGTAACTTTGTTTCTACGTGTTTTTATTGTGCTATGAGTGGTCATACACCTAATGCTTGCTATGTTAGAAGATTTAGTGTGGCAAGTGGGAATTATATGTGGGTTAATAAGGGAACTAACTATGATAGACTCAAAGCACATTGTGTACCAAATCAAACTTAATTTTTTTTTGTAGGTTTGCCTGAGGACCACTTAAGATTTATAGTATTTTGATAAGTGGTGGTTCTAATCATTTGATAGGAGACATAAACTAATTTTAAAATCTATTTCAAAAGTCCAAGGGTTATTTCACATATAGGGAATACCTTAAAGAAAGAATTCTTGGCATTGGAAAAGTTGGAGCACTAACTTTCATATTCATTGAAGATGTACTTTATGTTGAAGGACTAAAGCAAAATCTTCTAAGCAAAAGCCAACTTTGTGACAAAGGCCTCAAAGTTCATCAAGGATGAATGTTTTATGAAGTTACTCATGAGGTAAAAATCATAGTTAAAAATTATTTTTATATTCATAGCTTCGTTATATAATTTAAGTCTTTTCCCATCCTTTTTGCTAATGATAAAGGGGGAGAAGA